TACGCGCGCGCGCGCGCGCGTGTGGTGTGCGTGGTGTGCGCGCGCGCGCGCGCGCGTGTGTGTGTGTGTGTGTGTGTGTGTGTGTATCGATCGAATGTGACGACACGATCGCATGCGAGAAACGGATGGGAACAAAGAGACGGACGCCGGGATCGCGGCGCGACGCGACAGACGAAAGTTCTGCACGCTTGTGGCGGTCGTCGAGCCGAGAAAGCGTGTGTCGTGTATTATGGTCGAATGTCGCATTGCAGCGGCGACGTCGGCAGCAGCGGCGGCGGCGGCGGCGGTGGTGGCGGCAGCGACGGCGCCGGCGGCGACGACGACGGCGGCGACGGTGGCGGCAGCAGCAGCAGCAACGATACAGACGATGAAATCCGCCGCATCTGTCATCGTCCGTCCTCGTTGCACTCGCGTCGTCCTCGCGTCTCCGTTCTTTGCGTTTCTTTACAGACTTCTGTTCCATCAATGCCCATGGGTCCCGCTGCGCGACAGACGGCGAGCGTGATGTTCGCACCGAAAGGGCGATCAAGGAGGATACGACATTTTGCGCGTTTCCAGCAAAGACACAATATAATACAATGAATCACTTTGTCTTTGTTTAACACTGACAAGAATAAAACGATTATATTACACTGTATCTCTGCTGAAAAACGTCCATTATAAACGACAGATTCCTGTTTTCCGTAATACTCGAATGACGAAGTTGAGGAAACTTCAATTGACAAATGTTCCCCTCTTGCCGCACTAAAACATACCATATATAGTCGATCCCACGTGTACCGAACTTTCTTCATTTCAGAATCGCGATCGGAAGTGATGACCTATTGGCCTCGCGTCATTAGCTCGATATTGAAAAAAAAAAAAAAAATTGGCGAATGCGGGATCTCTGCATCTTTTGCATAGCGAATTCGATTGAAGGCAACAGTGCGCACAAATTGACTAAAATTGTACGCGTAGTAGAGCGTAAACGGTCATTTTGATGCAATGGTCACCGACTGGTGTAAGTCATCGTCGTTTGGCAGAGTTTCTGTCGGATGTGATCAAGACATTTGTAAACTAACGTTTACCTAAATACTCGAGTACTTGGGTAAATTTGTACGCGACGGACTTGTAGAGTTTACTGCAGTGTACGCGTCCCACCAGTACATTCAACTGAATTCCCTACATAGACGAGAGATTTGCCGATAGATAAAATATCATGTGAAGCTAACAAATTGATAGGTTTATTTAGCTTCCAGCACGCTACCTTCATCACTCTCATTTGACGCAATCGTTCCGTATAGTCGTACATGTATTTGGAATGTCGTGGAGATAATTTCGCGGAGTTTTCGGAATACAAGCAGAGGTTTTTAATGAATGAAGGTAAATGAAGAAATAAAAGTAAAGAATAATATTCTTTCTCTTAGATAGTGACTTTTAACTTTTGTGTATTTATAGAAAGTAATTAATTTAGAATTAATTATAAGTTAAAAAATAATTAATTTCATTAATTTTTTTTATTTATAGAAAATAATTAGTTTTCAAAAGTATTTGATATAATTAAATATACTTTTATACTAGTAATTTATAATAGATTAATGTTAACTCTTTTCATGTAAATTCTCTATTTATAATTAATTGAAAAAACGAGATTTCGACATTTTATAGGCATATAATTTATATATATATATATATATATATATATATATATATATATATAATAT